GGTAGCTGGAACTAGGCTGGTGTCAGTCCACATAGAGAGAATGGGACCAATTCAGAATATATTGTCCTTTGGGGTCTGCCATTTAGTGTTGGCTTTGTGATTTTTTGTTGGTCATTTCCATGCTGTGAGGGGGTGGAAATGGACCATCTCCCAGGCCAGTTCTGGCCTGCTGTTCTGAGGGGGCTTCCTCCTGGGCTGTCACAAGCACACGCTGCATGCTGCTCCCGGCTCTCCCTCCCCAGGATCTCATGGTCCGGAACGACTCCCCCTGTGGTAGCACCATTGGACCTATCTTGGCATCTCGGCTGGGGCTGCGGGTGCTGGACTTAGGCAGCCCCCAGCTGGCCATGCACTCTATCCGGGAGACAGCCTGCACCACGGGAGTCCTGCAGACCCTCACCCTCTTCAAGGTAAACCCACTCCAGTCCTGTGCATGAGGGCTGGGCTCCTTCCCCATCACTAAGTGGCTGGCCTGGGTGACGGGGCTGGTTGTCATGGTGTGACCATGTAGGAAAACAAGGGTCCCCATTCTTCTCAAGGCTCAGGGGCCCTGACCAGCTGCCAAAGAAAAATGAGGGGGTGCAGGGTGCTCAGGGCTAAGACTGGGGCAGTTATCAAGCGCAGGTGACTTCTGTGCTTCTCTTGCTGGGGCCTGTGTTGGCGGGAGGTGAATAGCGGAGTACCCCCATCTGGTCACTCACTAATTCCAAATCCAATGTTGCCTCCCGTTTTAGGGCTTCTTTGAGCTGTTCCCTTCTCTGAGTCGCAACCTCTTAGTGGATTGAGGCCTCTTGGAAAGACTTCTCTTCCACCCTGTGCACGTGAGAGGGGAAGTTCTCAGCTGAGCAGAAGCTGGCTTATTAAAGTGGATTTTTCACTCAAACTCTCCCTGCTGTACTTATTTGGAGACTGGAGGGGTGGGAGTTGAGCCTGGCTTGAACTTTGGAACCAGACGGGGGCAGGGTGGGGGGAGGTTGGGGTGCAGTAGAGGAGGCCACACACAGCTCCTGGGAGCTGATGGAGGCCTGATTTTCAGTCTCTTTTCTCCTTCCCTCCTTCCCTCTCTGCTGGGGCTGCGGGTGCTGGACTTAGGCAGCCCCCAGCTGGCCATGCACTCTATCCGGGAGACAGCCAAGGCTGTTTGCTGCCCTCCCCCAAGCCCTCCCCAGCGCCTCTCCGGAGCTGCAAAGAGAACAACGTAGTCTGTGCTTCCACTCTTCATCACCCGCTTCCCAGAAGTCCCTGCCATTACTTGACTGTTAATGCATTCTCAGGAAAAAAGATTATCACAGAAAAAATTAAAATAAGAAAAGTCCAAGTCTGCTTATAAACCATCCTCCCTCCTTCCACCAAAATCATTGTGCTAACTGGTGTTCTTCTGATTTTTTTGATACTTATATAAAAATTAATTTCTGGCCGGGCACGGCGGCTCATGCCTGTAATCCTAACACTCTGGGAGGCCGAGGCAGGAGGATCCCTTGAGCTCAGGACTTCAAGACCAGCCTGAGCAACAGTGAGACCGTGTCTTTACTAAAAAAAATAAATAAATAGAAAAAATTAGCCAGGCATCATGGTGTGCGCCTATAGTCCCAGCTACTCGAGAGGCTGAGGCAGGAAGATCCCCTGAACCCGGGAGATGGAGGCTGCAGCGAGCTACGATGACACCACTGCACACAAGCCCAGGCAACAGAGTAAGACTCTGTCT